CTGGAAAAATGAACTGTATTATTGCAATTTTTTTTTTTTTTTTTGTAAAAGTAGCAGTTTGGTATGAGTTGGCATGCATACAAGATTTACTAAGTGGGATAAGCTAATTATACTTTTTGTTGTGGATAAACAAATGCTTGTTGATAGCCTTTTTCTATCAAGAAACCAAGGAGCTAATTATTAATAACAATCATTGCACACCGAGTCTTAGCATTTCTGACGGAAACAATCTGGATTGTATAATAACACCAAGCCCAGTTGTAGTTGTTTGAGTGCAGTAATGAAATCTGAATCTAAAATAAAAACAAGATTATTTTTGTCATGCTGACTCTACTGCTTGAAAAATTTGTTTACTGCCCCACAAATTTTTAATGATTAATGCAGTAAATATAAGAATTAATTTTAGCCTCCTAAGTCATAGATTTGGAAATTTTAGTCACAAAGTAAATTAATAATAACCAGTGATTTCTTTAAGTTGACCTGATAAACTCCTAGTGTTAACAAATTTAAGGCCTGAAGGCACTAAACTAACCATGGGCTCTTATTCCCTCCAACAGAATTATTCACCTAGTGTCACTGATATTTTTCCTCCATATGATGCTGAACCTAAGTACAAAGCTCACTCAGCCTTTCACTGAGGAAGCTACCTAGTATGAGCAGTGTGCATTTATTAGGGAATTAACTATGTGGATTGAAGAGACCAGACTTCAAAATCTAATTTTTATAAATATGCTCTATGTTCTCATTGGATAAAACTGGTTATTAACCAATTTTCCAGAACAGCTGTACAGAATTTCTGCATGGCAGCCAGCTAAATGGTACAAAATAACATGTTTAAGCAGGAATGGCTTATAATTTTATTTAAATAAAATTGCTGCTATAAAAAGTGCTTCCCAAAGCTAAGGGAAATATACAAATATTTTAATTACGGCAAATTCGTTTTAAAAAATAAGCCTTTTAGCAGTGATTGCTTTGTCAACAAAGGACGGGTCTTTGGAAGACAGCGCCTTAAACTCAAGTCTGACATTCAGGCCTGAATCACCCTATAAAACCGCCCTCTGCAATTCCATTTTCTATTTGAAAAGAGAAAACAGCTGTGAGTTGGCTTTACTAGGTGACATGTGACAGACTGTCTCACCTGCCGGGGCTCCAGCGCACACCTCTCACCTTTTGTTTATGGGGCCTGGTTTCTAAACACGTGAGCACGCTGCGGGAGGAATGGTGGATGTATAGCAGCCGCTAGGCCTAGACATCCCACCCCCACCTCATATATGGCCTTGTTTAAATTTCTCATTTCGACCCGGGGACAATTCTTCTCCTTTATAAATAGTCCGTATTCGTGAAATCATTCTCTTTTGATAGGTGGTTACTAGCAGTTAACAACCATTTATTTACTTTTTAAATTAATAATAAACTTTTAAACCGTCCATTTGCCCCTCGCTCCCCCCTCCTGGTGGCTGGGTGAGTGGGTTATTTTCTGTCTTTATCCTTGAGGAGGCTCTTGTTGAGTGGGGAAGGAGAAAGGAGAAGGGGGGGGGGACAGACAGATGGACTGACATTCCTGGGACCTGGGACGTAGGGAAGTGGGAAGAGGAGTTAGGGAATATGAAGATTGAAGAATCGTGGTCAAGTGTCCAGGAATAGGGGGAAATACACCAATACAACCCCCCAACGCAGGCTGCTGTCTCCGTGCCCACTCCAGCCTTCCTCTAGGCTGTCCCCCCTCTTCCTCCTGACGCCCTGCCCTCTTGGTGCTATTTTGGCTTTTCCTCTTGTAAATTTCAGAGCCAGCTCTGAGGTCGTTGAGGACACTTATCCAGAGGAGGGAAATGATAGAGGTGTCGAGAGTGCTTCTGGTGTTTCTTAAATGGCAAAACCAAAACGCCCTCCTCTAAACACCGGTCTACAATTATACCTGCTTTATATTTTTACGGGGGTGGGGAGTGGGTGACCACTGGCTGAAGTAGACTACTTTTTAATAATATTGAAATATTTTTTCCGAAAAATTAAAAATATTTTACCAGATCATATTTAATCAGCTGTAATTATAACACATTCAAAATGAATAATATGCCTTGACAGTATTTTTATTGTTATTGTTCATTGCATGATGTTCGACTGCTTTAGAAGCACAGGAAAGAGAAGTAAACGCGCTACAAATGGGGAATTACCCTCGTTTAGCATTAAAATTCATTTAGATAAAATTGCCACAAACATTTAAATGGGAAGATTAGTTCCCCCTCACGCCTTATTGCACTCGCTCAATGGTTCCGTTAAGAACATTTTACACGTTGGAAATTCCGTCTTCTCAGACGGCTTGCTGTTTCCTAGTTACCCACATTCAAAGCAAGGCAGCGGCAAAGGCAGCCACAGCCGCAGAAGCAGCAGGGGAAAAAAAAAAGTTTTGGCAACTGGTCTGCAATTCATCCGCTGCTCGCCCCAGTCCCCCCTCCGCCCCGGGCAGCCCCCCCCCCGCAGCCCTACCCCTTGCCCCCATTATGTAATTTGCAGAGCCCTGACCTCAAACAATCAAGTTGCTTAGTTGTGTAGCATTTATAGATAATGTTAAAATACAAAGAAATATCAGAAAGCCAGTCGGGCCCCTTCGGAGACTCCCTCTCCCGCTTCTGTTCAGAATTCAGGGTTTAGCTCGAAAGTGCTGGGTTTCTCACATGCCCTACCCTGAGGCCACAAAGCAGGGTTTTCTTGGCTTTCTTTTCAGCCAGGACTTTTCCAGGAAATTCACCACTGCTTTTTGCTTGTACTGTACTAGAAACGTATTGCAGAATTAGTTTGAAAAGTCCGTGAGGCATCTAGTTCCACCTCTCTCTTTCGCGCCCCTCCCCCCTGCCGCCACCCCTCCCCCTCTGCCCCTCCCCCTCTGCCTCCCCCTCCCCTTCCATCTCCCCTCCTTTCACAGAGCCACAGGAAAAAAGAGGAAAGTCGGCTTCGACTGCCACCTTTTGGGGATTTGGAAAAACGACTCGGTGGGAAACGGAAAGAGGCGGAGGCGCGGGGAGGTGTGTGTGGGGGAAACCCCCTTATTATCCTGTGTCGGAACTGGCTCCCTTAATCTGATGCTTAAATATTTGATGTGGAAAAATTACCCATAAAATTAGTTACTAACAATTTCAAATTGAAATCACTTATCGAATTATAAACGCATTAAAGCTGTATGGATGGTATTAGGAGTTCCTCCGGAGGCAGGCGGCGGTGTCTCCTTGCAGCGCGCGGGACGGGGTTGAGCCCCGGGGAGCGGAGCCCCGCGCGGAGCCCAAGGGGAGGCCGGGACCGCTGCGCGGTGCGGGGCGCGGGGACTGAGCGAGTCGGCTGCCAGGCCGGGCGGAGACTACGGCTCGCTCAGGCAGCCGAGGCGGGGAGGCGGGAGAGAAAGACCGGCGGTGGGAGGTTCCGACGGGCCGAGGCGCCTACGGGAAACTTCCTGGGCAAGTGGGCAGAGTCTCGAACGCCGAGTCACAGCCTCCCGCCCCTCCTGCCCCTCCCGCGCGGAGCGCGCTCGCGGTCCTTGCAGGCGGCAGCGCCCCCCTAAAGCGGCCGGGACCCGAGAGGAGCTGCGGGACCCGGGGTGGGCTGGGCTCCGCGCCCCTGGACAAAATCCCGAGGGCCGCACCCGGAGCTCCCGCTGCGACGCAGCTGCTCGGGCTCCAGGGCGCGCGGCGTCGGGCCTGCGAGCAAGGCGGAGGCGGACAGGTTGCCGTCGCGCCCGAGCACCTGGGGCGCTGCTCAGAGCCCGCAGTGGCCTCCTGTGTCCTCCCCGCCCCACCTGAAAGTAAGGGTAGCTGGTGTCATCTCTGAAGCCCGGCAGGCAGGCCTGGGGCCAGCTCCGAGGGCTGGGGTGACGCCTCCCGCAGGCTCGGGCCCTCCTCTCGGCATCGGCATCGTTGCCGGTGCTTTGTAGTGGACTCGAGATTTCTCTTGACTCTGCCACGTCGGAGTTTCGACTCCGGAGTCCCACTTCGGTGGGAGAAATTCGACCCGGAGACCTTGGGAAACGGAGGGCACAGGAGACCTGGGCAGGCTGCCGGGGCGCGAGGGCGGGGGTCGGGATCGGCGGCCTGAGCGCGGTGGGCGGCGCCCGGAGGGTGCGGGCCGGAGCCTGGGATGACTCTTAAAGCATCGCAAACTTTCTCCCGCTGTTCAGATCCCCGCAGACGCTTGCCTGAGCGCCGGCACTCAAAACGTGACTCGACCGGGCAAAGCTCCTGAGTAGTCCTTTGCAAACCTGTGGGGCGGCGTGGAATTGAGAGTGGGGCGCCCTGCCTGGCCCGGCAGTTTTCCGGATCCCTCTCCCCTGTCCAGTGCTACCCCGCACCTGCTGGCTCTTTGGTGGCGCAAGAACTAGGGTCGTGGAGGTGCAAAGTCCATAAGACACTGGGAATCCCAGGGCCCCCAGAGCGCCAGGAGAGGGCGGGAGAATAGGGGGGCCCGAGCCTGGAGCGCCTGGCTGATGGCAGGAAGAAAGAGGGCTCCCCTTCCAGCCAGCGCCTAAAATTCTCTCCCAAGGTGCAGCTGAAAGGAAAACAATATACCGAGCAACCAGTTCGCCAACGTTTGCGCTTTAAAGAGTCTTTGCCTTAAAAATGGTTTCTTAGAAGTTTCTGTGGGGATGTGCGGGCATTTTTAGGACTTTGGCGCAGGCTGTCCGCTCCCTAGGTCATCTTTACGCGCTGCCTCCTGCCCTCCTGTCACGCCTAGCCCACCACCGGGAAATCCCGACTTTAAGCCTTGGGGAGAAAGGTGTAGTTTTAAACCCGTCTCCCATCGATCGGATCCGTGATTCCTATCCCTGCCCACTAGCAGACTAACTCACCTCTACCCTAAAGTATGAAATTCATTACGTGAACAATGATCTTAATCCCCTTGCTGAAAACGAGTCCCCGTACAAAGCCGATGGGGGGAGCAGTGATCAAGTCACCTGCCTCGCCCCCCCCCAGGCCTCTCCTACCCTCCGAGGCCTCGCGTGGCTGGGCGCGCCGCAT